GTCCCCCCCCCAGATCAAGCGCTCGGCCCGCATGTGTGGGGAGTGCGAGGCGTGTCGGCGCCCCGAGGACTGCGGGCAGTGCGACTTCTGCCGCGACATGAAGAAGTTCGGGGGCCCCAACAAGATCCGCCAGAAGTGCCGGCTGCGGCAGTGCCAGCTGCGCGCACGCGTGAGTGCGCGGGGCCTTAGCGTGTGCTCGGCGGGGCCTTGGCGTGTGCTCGGTGTGGCCTTGGCGTGTGTTCGCTGGGGGCTTGGCGTGGCCTTAGCGTGGGGACAGTGAGGGCTTTGTGTGGTGTCAGGGTCTCTTTGGTGTGGCCTTAGCGTGTGCTTGGTGTGGCCTTAGCGTGTGCTCAGTGGGGGCTTGGCGTGGCCTTAGCGTGGGGATGGTGAGGGCTTTCTGTGGCCTTAGTGTGGCCTTACCATGTGGTTGGCGTGGACTTAGTGTGGCCTTACCGTGTGGTTGGTGTGGTCTTAGTATGTGTTTGGTGTGGCCTTAGCGTGTGCTCAGTGGGGGCTTGGCGTGGCCTTAGCGTGGGGACAGTGAGGGCTTCGTGTGCTGTCGGGGTCTGTTTCGTGTGGTCTCAGTGTGGCCTTAGTATGTCCTTAGCGTGTGCTTGGTATGACCTTAGCATGTGATTGGGGAGGGCTTGGTGTGGCCTTAGCATGGGGATAGCGAGTGCTTTGTGTCGTGTCAGGGTCTGTTTGGTGTGGCCTTAGCGTGTGCTTGGTGTGGCCTTAGCGTGTGCTCAGTGGGGGCTTGGCGTGGCCTTAGCGTGTGCTTGGTGGGGGCTTGGTGTGGCCTTAGTGTGGGGATGGTGAAGGCTTCGTGTGGTGTCAGGGTCTGTTTGGTGTGGCCTTAGCGTGTGCTTGGTGTGGCCTTAACGTGTGTTCAGTGGGGGCTTGGCATGGCCTTAGCGTGTGCTTGGTATGATCTTAGCATGTGATTGGGGAGGGCTCGGTGTGGCCTTAGCGTGGGGATAGCGAGTCCTTTGTGTTGTGTCAGGGTCTGTTTGATGTGGCCTTAGTGTGTGCTTGGTGTGGCCTTAGCATGTGCTCAGTGTGGCCTTAGTATGTCCTTAGCGTGTGCTCGGTATGATCTTAGCGTGTGCTTGGGGAGGGCTTGGTGTGGCCTTAGCGTGGGGATAGCGAGTGCTTTGTGTCGTGTTAGGGTCTGTTTGGTGTGGCCTTAGCGTGTGCTCGGTATGACCTTAGCATGTGCTTGGGGAGGGCTTGGCGTGGCCTTAGCGTGGGGATGGTGAGGGCTTTCTGTGGTCTTAGTGTGTGTTTGGTGTGGCCTTGGTGTGGCCTTAGAGTGTGCCCAGTGGGGGCTTGGCGTGGCCTTAGCGTGGGGACAGTGAGAGCTTTGTGTGGTGTCAGGGTTTGTTTGGTGTGGCCTTAGCGTGTGCTTGGCATGGCCTTAGCGTGGCCTTAGCATGTGCTTGGTGGGGGCTTGGTGTGGCCTTAGTGTGGGGATGGTGAGGGCATCGTGTGGTGTCAGGGTCAGTTTGGTGTGGCCTTAGCGTGTGCTTGGTGTGGCCTTAACGTGTGTTTGGTGGGGGCTTGGCATGGCCTTAGCGTGTGCTCGGTATGATCTTAGCGTGTGCTTGGGGAGGGCTTGGTGTGGCCTTAGCGTGTGCTCAGTGGGGGCTTGGCATGGCCTTAGCGTGTGCTCGGTATGATCTTAGCGTGTGCTTGGGGAGGGCTTGGTGTGGCCTTAGCGTGGGGATAGCGAGTGCTTTGTGTCGTGTCAGGGTCTGTTTGGTGTGGCCTTAGCGTGTGCTTGGTGTGGCCTTAGCATGTGCTCAGTGTGGCCTTAGTATGTCCTTAGCGTGTGCTCGGTATGACCTTAGCATGTGCTTGGGGAGGGCTTGGTGTGGCCTTAGAGTGGGGATGGTGAGGGCTTTCTGTGGTTTTAGTGTGTGTTTGGTGTGGCCTTAGTGTGGCCTTACTGTGGCCTTACTGTGTGCTTGGCGTGGTCTTAGTGTGTGTTTGGTGTGGCCTTAGCGTGTGCTTGGGGAGGGCTTGGCCTGTCCTTAGCGTGGGGACAGTGAGGCTTCATGTGGTGCCAGGGTCTGTTTGGCGTGGCCTTGGTGTGACCTTAGCATGTTCTTGATATGGCCTTAGGGGGTTCTTGGTATGGCCTTAGCATGTGCTTGGCGTGGCCTCAGTATGTTCTTCACGTGGGGTTGGCGTGTGCTTGGATTGGCCTTGCTCTGGGTTTGGTATGATCTTAGCATGTGCTCTGTGTGGTGCCTGGCGTGTATTGGCATGGTCTTAGCGTGCTCCCTGACGTGTCCCCCACGTGTCCCTAACGTGTCCTTCTCCCCCCCCATGTCCCCCCCGTGTCCCTCTCGTGTCCCCCACATGTTTCTGACATGTCCTTCTCCCCCCGACATGTCCCCCACGTGTCCCTGACGTGTCCCTCTCGTGTCCCCGTGTCCCTGACATGTTCCCCACACATGTCTCTATGTCCCCCACGTGTCCCCCACGTGTCCCCACCATGTCCCATGCGTGTCCCTGACGTGTCCCTCTTGTGTTCCGTGTCCCTGACACGTCCTTCTCCCCTCAACGTGTCACCTCATGTCCCTCTCGTGTCCCCAACTTGTCCCCTCCGTGTCCCTCTCGTGTCGCACACGTGTTTCTGACATGTCCTTCTCCCCCCCACGTGTCCCTGACGTGTCCCTCTCGTGTCCCCGTGTCCCCCACGTGTCCCTCACGTGTCCCTGACATGTCCCGTGTCCCTGACGTGTCCCTCTCATGTCCCGTGTCCTTGACATGTCCCTCTCCCCTCAACGTGTCCACCTCATGTCCCTCTTGTGTCCCCCACGTGTTTCTGACATGTCCTTCTCCCCCCCACATGTCCCCGA